CTCAACTAAAACTACTAGACTGAAATGAAGAGACCTTTGTTTGGAACATTTAGTATTTTGAAAAAATGACCAAAATTAACAAATATTGTTGACCTGAACTTTTCACCTGGTGAGACCCATTTAACCCTTGTTGAGTAGTAATTCCTAGAAATTATGCGATGTTCACGTACATTAGCCCTGAAGCAAAATGTGTGGTTACAGAAAATATCCATACCTCCAATATGGAAGGTTTTACCATTTTGAACCCTCTCTACCTCCCTGAAATTCCCAATTAAGTTTCATACTTTGACTTATAAGTTTTGGATTTTGTGAAACCCTCCCCCTTTGAATTTCCATAGGGTGAGTATGGACATTTTGTGGAGCCACACAATATTAATTTGGGAAACTTATAAAAACTTATAATTTTATTGTTATGCCAAAGAAAAATATCTCACTCCTCCTTAATTAAACAATTGGTACGACTCAAAAACATGGAAACATGCTCATATTTTCTGTCTTAAAACACGCAACTAAATGTGAACGCATTCCTTGAATGTCAAATGTCTCATGGGTTGGATTTATTCCTAAAGCAAGGCATGTGGTAAAGGCAATGGCAAAAACGCGACTGTCACATCCATTTGTTTGTTGTTGCACGGAAAGAAAACTGTAGACTAGCCAGTGTCCCACCGAGCAAGTCATTTGTCTGGTCTTCTACTTCTTGGGAAGTGGCATCATGGTAGAGGCTCTCATAGAGATTTGCATGGGGCCATTCCATTTAATATCTGCACCCCCCTATTGAAGGCCCGGGATTACTTAGGGGGAGAGGGGGTCAATGCTACATATTTCCTGGGGGGGTTGAATCATTGATAGCGCGCGGCTCCCACGCGCGTCTTGTGGGGCAGAGCTCCATACCCATGGAATATGGTCAACCTCTTTTCCTTTGGTTGTCACGTGACTGACTGAGCGAACGTGCCCTCTTTCATGTATGCTATCACGAAAATACTTTAAGCATCATGGGATGCAATAAACCACAAGGTCTGTTGTTATACAGTGCATAACACCTTCAGATTGCATGGGTAGGGTAGGGTAGGGGAGACTATCAAAACTAAGGGAGGGGTGTCTCAGGTGAGTCTTGGAAAATGCATATTCTTTTATGTTATTATTAATATTTAGCACTTGGAGCTCTGCTTTTAGGCTTGGCTAAATCTATATATTTTATTATAACTAACTGCAGACAGTACTATTTCGGCCTTCTGGGGCCTCATCAGTGCAGTGCTGATGCTAGGATGGGGGAGAACCGAGACGGTCACCTCAAACGACCCAACCTTTGTGGTATCCTCTAAGCCATGCCAGAGTGCTC